TTTTAACAGCTGATTTGACCTTCTGCAGGATTTGTTTGTATGACCATGAGTGTTATTTTTTTTTTTTATTTAAGATATTGGATTGTGTTTGTTTAAAACAAAAGTAGGCCTGTGGCTGCCTGTCTTAAGATGTTTTAGAAGATGGTCTCATTACACAGCTTTTTTCAGATGTGCTGAGAACACGAACACCAAAGTCCTCCAGATAACTGGCTCCACTGGTTCATGCTAACGCTTTAGCATGTGTAGACGAATACTCAAGATGATAAAAATGTGAAGAACAAGATGGGCATAGCTACATGACTTTTTACTATGTGACTTTTCTTGTTAAGTGTCTATATAGTTGAAATTGCTAATGGCAGCTAAATGCGGAAGAAGACTGAATAACACCCTATTTTAGCTTGAACATGTCCCAGCTATCCCACTAATTCCCACCCTCTGACATATTGTTCTAGCATCTTACCCTTGTCCACACTGGATGTGTTTAAAACCTTTTTGCACATCTGTCTTTAAATTTTCTGCAAAGGTGGAATAACAGCTTGGATTTCACTCTTAGGTAAGTTTGCCCTACGAGGCCTCTGAGAGGACTTGAGCCAAAGCTGTCTGTTGATCACCAGAAATTTGAAAAAGGGTTATAGGGCACATTATTTTCAGAGCGTACTAATGAACCAACAGCTGTCACTCACATGTTCCTGGTCATTTTTTCAATTACTGCTCCGAACAAGAGTTGGAAATATAACTATAGTTCTGGATGACTGTCAGAAACCGTACTTAACACCTGGATCTCCAATTAACCGTATAGCTGGTGATCCTGGAAAAAGCAGCAAGAGGAAGCTTGATTTTAAAAGTAGACAACTGAAGAAATCTCACTCCTTCAAAACAACTCGCACTGCCTGATGACTACTACTGATTTCAGAAAAATAACAAATGCCTCCCAAACTAAACAAAAATGATAATTACCTGTCCAGCAGAAATTCGGCCACCATGGCAACACTTTTCAGCCCATTTTTTTCCTTTCAATTGTCGCCATCATTCAAAAGCCACACCATTGCAAATTCTGGTTTTATTTTTTGTAGCATCCAACTTCATTTTAGTTGGAACTTTATCGCATACAGTCTCCGTTTGCAACCAAAAGCTGCTATGGGTACTTTCTCTGCCATAGCTAAAAACAAAGCAGTAACACGTCTGCGTGCCTGGTCTTGTGGGAGACTCGTGGCTTGCGCAATGACTGCAAGGGCAGAGTGCACGCTAGTAGGTTGTTTTTTGCTCAATATTTAGATTTAGTTTCAGGTAGGTTTATTGATCCCACAATGGGGAAGTTCCTGTGTTCCTGCAGCTATAGAGAGCAGCAACAAAACACCATAAGAACAAACACCACACACATATCTTGAGAAACAAATTCCAAGTACCTAAAACCAAACAGAATATAGTATTTGAGAGACGATCAAGAGCAAGAATGATCCTCCCACAATTAATCCCTGAGAACAAATCAAAATACCCAAGAACAAGATGATATAGTATTTGAGAGAGATCAAGAAATCAAAGACAAGAATATTACTCCCATAATTCCAAAATGGGGGAAATGCCTTTATTTCAGCCATGAGGATCTCTGAAAAACTACTCAAAAATACCTAAAACAAGTTTTGAGTAAATGATTGCTTTGAATAGTGACATAAAGGGGTAACGAACATCTTAAAAGGCAAAAAAGACCTTGTGTCCCTAATAGCTGTATCTGTGTAGTACCTCCTGTCCCCCAGACATGTCATGCCAGAGAACATGTCCTTGCTGTCACTCAACATGAAACAGTGAAGTCACATGATTTAGGTGGGTGTTTGCAACCCTAAATGAGGAAGATGATGAACTGCCAAAAACCTGAGTTCCTAAAGTTGTGCAGTGCCAGTCACTATGATTCTCCATGGGTCTGAATGCATCTGGACGAGGCAGCCCCTGTCTGTGTCGCACAAACACAATACCTGGTCAGCTAAAACCCAGCAGAGACCTCTTTTGTCTAGGCAGACTGTTGTCAGGTCAACACTCCAGGCCAGATGAAAGCCTGTTGTTCTACAAACATAACAATACACACACCATGAAGTCATAGCAGAACAGGCTTCTATCCTGACACTGCCTTTGTCAACAGTGAATAAACTGGTTGTAATTATTGATTACAGACAGTATATTGTCACACTGGAGCATGAAGAGATGAGCAACCAGTTATGTTCCACCACTTGTTACACTGTCTTGACACGGTTAGTGCTCCACAGTCTGACAGTTGTGTCATAACACTGCAGCAAAACTGAGCCACATTATTTCAAAATACTTAATATTTTAATTGTCTTTTTTAATCCATCAGATACAGGAAGAGAGTCTTGATTTTAAGGTGGGGTGGGGATTTTGGGGGCGGTCCAAATTCGGAAGAAAATTTGGTGGTCAAAATCAGATTTCTAAAATTTAAAAAAGAAAGGAAAACAATAGATTCACATGGTTAAATTTGGACTTTCTTAAACCATATGTTTACTAAAATATAGGCAAAATGGTACATTTATCAGTGTTGCTTTTTGGTTGCATCTCACATGGTCTTCATTATTGAAGGGTAGAACAGGAGTGAGCACAGGACCACGGTGGCACATGAAGGCCATCAGATGTGTTTGAAACCTACAAAACGCTACCTAGACTAAAGTTGTTTATTCTGGGATTAACTCGGATATCAAGAATAAATATAAATAAAAATCATGTTTCTCTTGCAAAGAGGGGGCAGGCTCTTCTGTAACTCTATGTCTGTTGTTGTGTTTTAACCCCTTAAAGGTTTCAGTGTGCTTTGAACTAACAGGCTTGTACAACATGTTTTCAGCCACATCTAAAAGCAGAGGTCCTTGAAGGGATGGTGAAAAGCCTGCCTTCTCCAGACTGTACAGCACTTTCTTTTCCCCAGAGCTCTGGGCCTTTTTTGTTTGTTTGTCTGTCTCAGTGCCTTGAATCATAGAAATTGGGATAATGTTACACACTTTTGCACAGTCACTCCTTAAAATCAGTGTTGGTGACGCTCTCGGTTGTTTTCTTGGAAAGTGACAAGTACCTATGTCAAAAAATGAGTTTTAGAGAGAACTTCAAATGTCTTCTGCTCTTTCACACACCAATCGATGTGTAAAATGAGCACAGACATCTGAAAGTGCCAGATGTTTGCAGCTTCTGTAATGTCAAATGGTGGTACATGGTTTGACAGAGTGCTAGTGTTAAGTGCTGTTATGTTCTTGGAGCTGGGGATTTGTTTTAATGATATGGAAACAGAAAAGAACTAGTTTTAGCCAAGAAGCCTTTTTCAATATCAGACCCAAAGTGTCAGGTTGAGCAATGTCTCGTTTTGCAAGACTCTGCCTTTGACTGCCTTCTAACATTTCTGTGATGCTAGTCTTGAACACTGCATATTGTTCATCTGACATCAGTGTTGCAACTGTAAGAGTATGAAACCTATATTTTAATCATGCTTTTCTGGTTGTAAATTAAGAGAAAAAGCACTTTTAAAAATAAAAGTGATTGTAAATGCCTGTGAGAGGAAATCAGTGTCGCCTTATATACTAAAAACTATGCAACACTGCTCCAAAACCATGACTTGGAGTTATGTTGTGTTTAAAAATAATCATGATCTCACTGACTGCTGATACTTTTAATACCAATGTTTTATAGAAATCTGACTGTAGTCACATCAGGAACTAATCTACAACCAAGCTTCTTCATATACTATATGTTTATTGCCTTCTTTTAAAAGCTCTTCCTCTTCTGCCCAATCATGCTAAAATGTTTTATACTTTTTAAAATATTTTATTTATTTATTTTTTGTGGTGCCACACAAACAGTCTAATATCCTATTTTTTTATTTAATTCACATAAATGAGTACTCTTCTCAGTGTTTGGCATTTTAGGACATGCTTTCAATGTACATTCCAGCTTGTGCTGTCTTACCCTTCTACTCGCCTTAAATAAATGAAACTTTTTTTTAAACTGTTCGTGTTATTACTGAATTTCTGCCTTATAGAGACAGCATGACTATTTTGTAAAAACTTGTTCTTGACAGTTCTCCCAAACAGTTCTGTCTCTGACACTCCACACAGATTTAGTTTCTACACACACACACAGACCCAGTCTCTGTGGACACACAGCCTGGTTTCCACTGCCCAGCTGCCTGCCCAGCTGCCTACCTAGGAGATACCTATGAAGGTCACATACCTAAGACACATTTCTGATTGGTTGCAGCTAGTGGGTGATAGTTGACTGATGTCATACAAAACCTGACTAACCTGTCTTTTGTCACCCACTGACTCTTTGCACTGAGTGTGTGACTTCCTGGTCAAGACCACTGGTATTGTCTTATGCTATTGTCTGCTGATTCGTTTAATAAATTACAGAAAAACTACCTGAGAGCCTCCTTATTGATTTCCAAAACAGCCACAATCCTTCTGGGAGAATGTCCTGTGGACAGATGACACTGGAACAGAGCTTTTTGGTCGAGCAAGTCATTTTTCTGTTTTCAGAAAATGAAATGAGGCCTTCAAAGAAAAGACCACGATCCTTACAGTCAAACGCGGTGGAGGTTCACTGATGTATTGGGGTTGCTTTGCTGCTTCAGGCACTGGATGTCTTGACTGTGTGTCTGGAATTATGAAATCTGTGGACTAATATTCTGACCCTTTCATGTAAGTGGCTGGGCAGGACAAAACAATAGAGATGCCTCTGAATATCATGTAGTCCAGCACCTTTAACTATTACCTCAATAATAAACATATAATTGAATATAAACATTTATGAAATGTTCACTAAAAACTGAAACAATTAGAGGTTCATAAACACAGATGTTATGGTGGAAGTGTTGTATTGAAGTGCATGTAATTGTACAAGTGTACCTAATAAAGTGGCCAGGGAGTGTTTCTACTCCCTGGCACTGTCGGTGGATGAATACACACAATGAAATCTTAAAGAACAAGTCATTGCATTCTATTGACTGGCTTGTAAATGTAATCTTTATTTATTTGAAAGAATTTCAATATACAGATATAAAAAAACACAGGGCTGTGTAGACATTGATTTCCAGTTCCTAAAAAATTGGTGGATCCATATATATGCACATGACTCTACTGACAGATATATTCCTCAAATGAGTGACTCAGGATGTGTGGGTCAGTTCAGTCTCTGACACCTCAAGGACAACGTCTGGTGACTCAGTGCTGCAAAATAAGAATAAAGTCATGTTGATCCTATAAAATTATACTGACAGATAAGAGTAGTGTTGCAGTTTTTGCATTGCAGCTGCAACACTTTTAACAGTAATCATTCAAACTTATTTGCTCAGAACCAGGGTTGTGACACATTTACCTTAAAATCCCAGATCACCATGGTTCCATCCAGACCCACACTACTGTACTTCTCCACTTTAGCTTTCTCCCCTGAGACAACACACAGCTGCCTGCATGACACAACACATACACACAAGGGTTTTACAAAAGTGTTAACCATATCCTTTTTAATGTCAGACTTATTTTTTGGCAAACGTTTTCTCCAGTCCTGGTTTTCAGCCCCAACTTCACCAATCTCATGATGTGCCCTGATCACACCAAGACTTTTCTCCCAGAAAACTGCTGCGATCACATATTCTTTGGTATTCTCATCTTTCTTTTGTTTGCATTGGAACAACACAAAAAGCAGGGGAAAACAGCCAATCAGTGTTGAACCCTGAGTCTGAGTCCTGCTTGTTGAGTCCCCTGTTTTGTCTTGATCAAGGCCAACTGGCTGCAACAACACCTTTATCATCAGACTTCCACCTCACTTTGTGGTTTTGTAAGTTTTTAACTTCAGAGGTAACATGAGAATGTATCTCCAATACAGTAAATGTTCTTGTTAATATAAACAAAATTGTCATATTCTGTAAATCTGTCATGTGACAGAAGATAGTGAATGTATAGTATCTCTGTCACTGTGCAGACATGGGAAGTGCGAAAATGAAGATAAGGTACCGGTAACCGCTCACTTCAGATTCCTTGGTGTGTGAGACTTCCCAGAAAAGGAGGAAAATAAAGATTAAAAGAAATTATGACAGTGTAAGGCTGTGTTCAGAATGAGTTTCAAAGGTGTGAAAAACAAAATGCAGATCTCCCCATGCATTTTCATTAGTTATTGAATGTTAAACTTTATCTATGCCAACACACTGGTGGCGGAAATTGGCTCTAATGTAGAGTACATTAGCAGCATAGCTAACCAAAACACAACAAAATCTTGCTGGCTGAAAACATGACTGAGGCCTGAGATAAAGCCTGACACAGTCAGTGACATCACATTCTCTGCCTTGACATGAAGGTTCATTTTCTGCTGCCCTGAGTACTGACCACGTGCCTTGAAAGTCCAGTGTTCATCTTACACCACTAGAACGAACTCAAGATGCCTTAAGCCGAAGTATATGATATGTTGTGCTTGCTACAGAGGCTTGGTTGGTCTGGAAAAAAATGTAAACTGTATGGTGGGCTAGGCAGCATGCTGGCTAGCTTGTTGTTTGACCTAGTTACTTGCAAATATGAGTTGGTTGGTGGGTGGGTTTGATGGGTTACCAAGAGGGGGTGGACACTGGTTGGTTTATATCAGTTTCTCAAGTGGGTGGTAAGGCCTCACAGTAGGTGTTCAGAGGGTGCTGGAAGTTTGGCGGCAGTTTAGTGGGGTGTTTGAATGCTAATGGAGGATGCTAACAAAGTAGATGATTTAATGCCTGTAATTAAGTCATATTTTAAAAAGTAATGCACATTGTTTTCTGTTTGAGTTAATTATGTGCCAATCAGCTAGTTATACCTAGTGGCTCGGGCTCCTTTTTCACACTCAATACAGACGAGTGGCGGCAAGTGTAGTGGGCTGGTGTTATGACGTTCGGATGCCTTCACTCTCTTTCATCCCTTTTTTTCCTTACTTAAGATACAAGGCATTGTAAAGTTGTATACATGTTGATAATAGTTATTCATATGTTGTGAATGTTGAATGTGACAGAAAGAGATACTTTTTATATTGTTTGTGTTAACCCCTAATATACCACGGTGCCCTAATGTTCTACCAAATTTTATCTGAAAGTTGCCAACAGGTAATTATTGTTTGGCATTTTCAAACAAGAACTGAAAATTGCTTTTGTGAATGTTACAATGCTACTGTAAAAGGAAACAGCAGTGTCCCTTACGTGATGCTGTTCTGGTGAAGGGTGCACAGCTCGTTGCTGTCCTCCTCGGTGGCCTTCTTGTCCAGGTTACGAAAGTGTTGCATGGCTGACATGTTGCCCTTAGCAGTCTGCTTGGAGATGCCCAGCTTTTTGACAAACTCCAGTGTGCCAGGACTCTTATAGCTGAATTGGTAGGGGCAACAGTCATGACCCTGACATTGAAACAAGGAGGTAATATTTACTGTATATTTAAGTTCATTATGACTATCTGTGTCCATTATGTATTTTACGTTTTGTCCCAAATAAAAGCAATAGTTGATTTAACAAACCTCACTTATGGTCACAGAAATTCTTACTACAATCCCACCTTTTTCATTTCTCTAATAATTATAAAAATCACAATGTAAACATGGAGATATAAGTGGGAAGACACAGCCAAACTGGACGCCAGATACTGCACATAAGCATATTGTAACTGTAATAAATCTTTTTGCACCTGAATGATTATCTTTTAAAGACATTATCTTTATCGTAGTAAGAATAAATGGATGAAGTCACATATACTGGACAGGTACCATACAATGAGCTTTTATGGCTTTTGTGTTTGTGTGTGTGTGTGTGTGTGTGTGTGTGTGTGTGTGTGTGTGTGTGTGTGTGTGTGTGTGTGTGTGTGTGTGTGTGTGTGTGTGTGTGTGTGTGTGTGTGTGTGTGTGAAAACAGCTACTTTCTGCTGGTGGAAATTAGGTTGATGAAAACAGAGTTTGTTGGACAAAAGCAAAGCAATGAGCTAAATTATGCTACAGAGCTCTGTAGAATCAAGTGGAACCGCAGGGTTCATCCCATGCACACCGCAAATACACTACGCATTTGATCCATTGTTAATATACAATGATTAATTGCTACAGTTTTAAACTGGGAATTTGACTAAGTGAATAAGTACAATAGGTGATCATGCTTGGAGGTGCTGGGGACAAACTGGCCACACACTTTCTATGCACACATGCACAAACAAGCAAGTTAATACTTACAGCTGCAACAATCTCAGTGGGATTGACATAGAGGACACTAAGTAGTGGCAGATGGTCAGTTGTCAGCTGGGTTACCCTGAACAGAGAAGTGACATATTGTTGGACTTATAACATAAAACAAGACACAGGAATACGTACATAACAAGCCTTTAGGCCAGCAAAAAAACATAATAGACAATAACGTAGATGCCTGAATGTTCTGGAATTGAAGACATTAAGGAGTCTGCTGAAAGATTGTCTTAAAATTAACTGGATACATTTCATTTTAGCTGACCGTTAATAGTGGTCATACTGATAGAATAAGTGGCTTGGCAGCACTACTCACTCCTTTCCCTGAGCAGCATCAGCCACACTGATGCTGCTGTTATGGGCCACCCAGGCTAATTGGTCTCCACTGGGGGAGAAGGAGACGCTGTGCACCCAGCCTCCACAGTCCTTATGCTCCAGCAGCACCTCACCAAAAGGCATCTTAGCCCCCCAGGCAGTGGGTCCAGGCTTGTCCTCAATGTCTTTGATGTATGCAGAAAACACCCTGAGAAGCATGAAAATCTGTTAGAGTTCATTGACTTTGGTACCCAGTACTGGGTTGCTTGATGTACTTTTGGGTTAGATGCTTAGACTGATGTATTGATAATGTTTGATGTACTGTTAATTTCCTAATTTTTAATTTCTTTTGACAACCCTGAGGTTAACCACAGTGGTTAGCGCTGTTGCCTCACAGCAAGAAGGTTCCGGGTTTGAGCCCCAGCTGACCTGGTGCCTGTCTGTGCGGATTTTGCATGTTCTCCCTGTTCCTGCATGGGTTCTCTTCAGGTACCCCGGCTTTCTCCCACAGTCCAAAAACAGGCCACTTAGGTTGATTGGTGATTTCAATTTGACCCTCTTCAGGATAAGCGGTATAGATAATGGATGGATATTTATTGACATCCTAATAGTAGTCCAGCCTAGAAGTGACACGAATCAGCTTTTCAGCATCACTTTGAGACAAAATGTTTCTGATTTTGTCAATATTGTACAGATGAAAGAAGGCAGTTCTACAGACTTGGCTGTGTGTCAGGTACCGGAAAATGTAAGGTTACAAGATTTATTACAGGGATTAATGAAGGGGCAGAGCCACTCTGAGGGCTCAGAACAGTGCAACAATTACTATCATTATTATTATTCCTTGCTACACCTCTCCTGCTCCTCCTCACCACCGCATCCACGGATTACTGTCTCCAGACCATTACTCCACTCTACCCTTCCAGCCTCCACCAGCCAGGTCAGTACACAGTCATCAGATCCCATCTACCACCCACCAGCCAGACCAGGAGTGACCCTAGCGTCCGTAGCTCAGCCTATCTCATCATATCCATCCGTCATCTGTTATTCTCTGCTAGCTGATCAGCACCCGGTCCTCCATTTCCTACTTATTTTCTTATCACATCACTTACTGTATATATACATATATATTGTACAACACAAAATAAATTCTGCTTGCACTGAAGTCAGCCATCTGGGTCTGTTCATTTCTTCACTCACTCACCCTCAACGAGTGGGTGACTCTAACACTTTAGGCGAACTATCCAACCGACAATTATTGAAATTCCCCATATTGAAATTTGGAGCATCTGGCGAAAGCCTTTCTAGTCGGTGGCTCACCTCTGTAATCAGCTGATTCACTGCATAAACATTTGCTCATGGGTGAATATAAAACAGTGTGAAGAAAAGCTGAGGGAATTGCCAGGCTCTGGAGCTGGCTGAACTGCAGGCGGAGCATCAACAAAAGGGGCCGACTCTGGGCAGTATATCTTATCTCCTGTTGCCTTAATAAAGCAATGTTGTGTTCTGTAATCTGTTTAAAGCTCTGCTTTCCCCTGTGTGTTCCATTCTCTACATTTTGGTGGTGGTATCACCTGCAGTGAAGGTCTGCAGACCCAGCTGCTAGTAAAATGTTGTTGGGATGCCAATCCAGACTCAAGACTGTGGAACGAATAGGTTTCTTGATGTGCTTACTCAGCCACCTGAAAATGTCATAAAGCAAGTTTGTAAGTTGACCTGGAGATAATGTTTTTACATGTTTTACATTGTATTTTGGTAAAAATGTGAACTTACAAATTACCTAGACATTTTCCTCTGGACTAAGTTGTGTGACTTTCTAATCTGTTTGTACAGTAATGGACAAAAATATTGCATCTTTGTATTTTTGTCAGATAGCTCACCACTTCGCCCAGAAAATTGTCGCAGTCATAAAATCTTTGGCATTCTCATGTTTTTTTCTTATGTTTGCATTTGAACAACACAAAATCGCAGAGGGGAAAAAGCCAAATCTGATCCATTTCACACAGAACTCCAAAAATGAACTGGACAGAATTACTGACACCCTCAGCTTAATATTTGGTAGCACACTCTCTGGACAAAATAACTGAAATCAATCACTTCTTGTAACCATCAGTGAGTTTCTTCCACCTCTCTACTGGAATTTTGGACCACTCTTCTTTTGCCAACTGCTCCAGGTCTCAGATTTGAAGGGTTCCTTCTCTCAGCTGCTGTTCTGAGATCTCTCCACAGCTACTCTATGGGATTTAGATCTGAACTCATTGTTGGCCACTTCATAACTCTCCAGCTCATTGTCTGAAACCATTTCTGGTGCTTTTTGAAGTCTGCTTTGGGTCATTGTCCTGCTGTATGACCCATGACCTCTGATGGAGACCCAACTTTCTGACACTGGGTCCTATATGTGCACCAGAATTTATCAGTATTTCATAAAGCCAAACACACCATCAAGACATCCAGTGTCTGAAGCAGCAAAGCAACCCAAAAACATCAGTGAACCTCCACCGTGTTTGACTGTAGGGACCATGTTCTTTTCTTTGAAGGCCTCATTTTGTTTTTGGAAAACAGCAGAATGATGTGCTCGACCAGGTAAGTTTAGGCAAACTCCAATTTGGATTTTTATGTCTCTGTGTCAGCAGTGGGGTCCCCCTGGGTCTCCTACCATAGCTTCCTTTGACAATCAGATGGCAACAGGTAGTGCGAGCTGACAGTGTTGCACCCTGTGCCTGCAGGTAAACTTGAATTTGTTTTGGAAGTTGATTGAGGTTCTTTATCCACCATGCGAACAATGCAGTCAGTTGCAGTCTGTCATCTGCTTTTCTCTTTTGTCCACATCCAGGGAGATTAGCTCCAGTGCTGTAAACCTCTTGATGTTGTGCACAGTGGACACAGGAACAGCCAGATCTCTGGAGATGGACTTGTAGCCTTGAGATTGTTCAGGCCTTTGTCACTGTTGTGGTTTTCAAATCCTCAGACAATTCTTTGCTCTTCTTTCTTTTCTCCATGCTCAGTGTGGTCCACATGACACAAAGGTTTCTCCATTTTAACTGGCTACATGTGTGATTTCTATGTTGCCAGCACCTGTTGTTTGCTACAGGTGAGTTTTATTACAAATTAAAGGAGCATCACCTGCTTGGAATGCAACTATTTCTGATGATTTTAAAAAGGTGTCAATAAATCTGTCCAGTCCATTTTTGGAGTTCTGTGTGGATCAGATTTGGCTTTTTTTCTGTTTTTGTGTTCTAATGCAAACAAAAGAAACATGAGAATACACAACAATGTTCTGGGAGAAGTGATGTGTTATCTGACAGAAATGCAGGGGTACTAATATTTTTGTCCATGACTGTCCATTGTCACTGTGACTTCACCACATCAGCTTTATTAATACCAAAATAATCTTGGCCTTCAAAATCAATATCAGTTCTGTGCAAAATTTGAACAGCTTAAAGTTGATCATGTTTTGCCCACCAGTTGTTCTCCTTCTCAAAGTAGCAGACAGAGATAAGACAAGCTCCACTGCCCAGGGCAAACTTATTCTCTTGTGGTGACCACTTCACACAGGTGGCTGCACGGTTGATGCGCACCAGGACTAGGGTGGGTTTCCACATGCCATCCTTGAGAGTCCACACATAGGCATTGCGGTCAGAGGCACATGTCACAATGCGGTTGGACTCTGGGGCCCAGTCAATACCTATGGACATAATTATGAGGCTGTTTTAAAGGAATAATAAATATGTTATGTTAAAGCATGGTCTATTTGGAAATACTGCACATATATCCCACCTTTGCTTTTAAATCATACATTTTACTTAAGAACTCCTGTAGAACTCCTGTATACACTATGACTAGTGATGAAAACTCACTTTCTTCCTTTTCAAATGTTGATCATTGTCTTGGATGGCCTAACAAGTTGTACATAGCAGTCATCATTATTACATACAGTAAAAGCTTGTGTCCACTGATAGGCAGTTTTTTTTTCTCTGTGAAAGCCTATCATTTTTATTTGCATGGAGCTATATAATGTTTTTTTTGTTTGTTTGTATTAGTTTTTCCTGAGGAAGGTGTAATGTCCAAAACATCACCTAACTCAAATGTACCATTATTGGCTGCTCAGACTAGGAAGAGGTTAGGAAATGTTCTACATACAATACACAACCAGGTCATAACCTGTGTACAAGCCACAGGAAACTATTAAGACATCTCTTGTTTTCTTGCTCAAAATAAGTTACTTATTTTTTTCCAAGTGGGATGTTGTCAAGTCAAATCCTCCTTTCCTTCACTCAGAGTTTGCCGATGAACAAGCTTCCTCAAAAGCTACATACCAACTTCTACAGGTGCGCGATTGAGAGTATCTTGACATATTGTTGCACAGTGTAGAACTCTAGCTGCACTGAGACAGAGAGTAGAGATTTGCAGAGGGTGGTTAAAATGGCCCAGTGGATTATCAGCTCCTCGATATCACATATAAAGGACATCTACTGCAGCTGTCGTCTCAAATGGGCCATTAACATCAAGAGGGATAAGTCCCATCCAGCCCACCGCCACTCCTGTTACTATTATATCTGCATTGGTATACTGTATACTGCACTGTATTCACAGTAGTGGTGATATTTAACCCTTGTGCTCTGTTCGGGTCTGTGGGACCCGGAGACACATGTCACCTTAAAAACAACAATATATATAAATATAATTTTATTGTTAGTATTTAACCAGATGATCTACTTACTATAGCTGCTACTACAACTTATTAATTGATTGTTTTTGGTGTTAATCAAATTATTTTATTGTTAATATTAGCTGAACAACTTGGTTATTATTTTATTGGATGTTCTAGTGGCCTTGGAATTCTGACATGGTTACCTGGGGTTTTTTGTTTTGTTGTTGTTGTTGTTTTGCAGTGATAATAATCTTTCTATCTATCTACAAGCTGCAGTACCTGTGATTCGTCCACTGTGCTCACTCAGCTCATGGATCTTGACCCAGTCTTTTCCTCTCTTCTCATAAATATTCACCACATTGTAGTTAGGACTCACTGCAATCTCTGTAAGGAGATATATGTTTAAATGTTAGGAAATACAATCAATAAACAATAGTAACATAATAGTATACTGTGGAAATAGTAACTCACCATGGTCGATTCATCTCTAAATTTAGGCTCTTAACTTTGTCCTGAGGAGCATGCATGTACTTGACAAATGCTGTGCTTATTAGCTAGTTAATAGGTTTCAGCTTTCGAATGTCCCTTTCGTACATTTCTCAGATCAAAAATGATACAAAACTGCTTGTTCAACGTCTGCATCATCCAGTCACTTGTGCACCTCATATAAACAATTTCACTTTGTTTATAACAAATTGCAAATGCTTTGGCACATTCGTGCAAATGATTACATACAACTGGCTGCTGTTTCCTACATTATCAGTTTCTTATGCCATTGATCAAAATGTATTATATGGCTCTCTGCTGAATAGTGATGATGATCTGAGAAATATACTAAAGTGACTCTCTCAACCAGAGAACCCACTGGTGGACACCAGCAGTGAAGGAAGTCGTCAGGCCCAAGAAGGAGGCCTTCTGGTCTTGGTTGGCCCAGGGGTCTGTAGAAACCGCTCTGAGGATTGTGTATGACCTGTATTATTTTCACCTGCACTCTGCCTCCTGGGCCTAGAAAGTTCTAGTCTGCCATCTTAGTTCAGCTGGGGGAAAAGATGCCTACTTCAGCCTTCCTGACTGCTGCCTGTAACTAACCTGTGTGCTGTTCAGCCTCTGTGTCCTGTAGCTTTGCCCTCCTTCTCGCCTGATGATCTGACCAGCGGTCCACTCCATGAGGTCCTCCTAGTCTATCTGCTAGGTACTTCTCTGGGCACACCTGACTTTAGCTCTTCTCTTGGAAGCTAAGCAAGGTTGGGCCTGGTCAGTATCTGGATGGGAGACTCCCTGGAGACATCTATGTGAGTTCATCCACCAGCTTAGTCAGAAAGTAGTAAAAGCTTTATGTCAGACTTCTTCTGACCTGCCATCTGTGTCTCACAAAATGCTGGTGGACTAGTGTGTCGCCCCCGGTGATCCAGAGGCACCACCTAGTCCTCATCTGAACACCATGGCTACCTTCACTGCTTCCAGCCCTGGTGTGGCTCCTCCCTCTTAGGTTGTGCATTTGGGTCCTGCGTTTCCAGTTCCTCAATACTACCAATCAGCCTCTGTATTCTCCTCTTTGGTGTTGTCTGCCATCTTGTGGCATGTCAAAGTCTCACCTACACAGTGAATCCTGTGTGTGGCTTGTATCTGGGGCTAATTTGAGAAAGCCTGACATTCAGCTGCAAAAGCATGCAGTTCTTTTTTTTTGGTTTGTTTTTTCTTCAAACTGACATGACACAGCAGACACTGTCATAATATAGCTCAAACATTCAACCAAGGAGGATTGTAGTAATTAAACCAGATCACAGGTCTGATATGAATGAGGTTGCAATAGCCTTTCTTTCAAAACATATTTGCTATTGCAAAAGTTGTATAGAAACTTAATTTGTAAGAGACTAGTTTGCATGCAAACACAAAGCAATCCTGTACTAAATACAACCTCCCTGAGTTACTAGCTTGGCTAAAGGCTCAGGTTGAAACATTGTGTCATGGACCAAAGCTACCAACCAACCAATTGACCGGCACTGAAACGAAACTGCATAATGGTTTTGTTTCAGGAATTTTCTAAAATTATATTGACAAACAGCAGCTGTGAGATCATTGATGCTCAAAATTTAGTGAGGCCTGATGTAAAGATTGTAGAAGAAGCCCGAGACAATCCAGTTATGACTTCCAGGGAGCTACAATAGTGCAGTCAGATGTAAAGCTCTTTGAGTCCATTTCCGATACTGTTTATTGCCTGTGGTTCTCCAGATAACATTAATGCAAGCAGGAGGGAGAAAATGTATTAGCAGTCTGCAGTGCATGTTTGGTCCCACCTGATATCAAATCCACAAGTTATGGAGAAAAAATACATACAAGTAATGAATATGCCCACACATTTTTATGCATTTAAATAGGCATATACAAAAATGCTGCTCAGTATTATATACACCGTTTCACCTACGGGTCCTGTCTTTATTCCAGGCATGGCAGGAGAGCGGCTCCAGACCAAAACTGTAGCTTGACATGTCAGAACAGAGGCAGGAGAGGTGGCTGGAATGTGGCTGCTGTCAAGGCTGGTCTGCAGATGTGCTGCTGCAGGTCCCAGGATAAATTCTGAGAGGATAACATAAAGAAACTTGATGAGAGGCAATTTTTTTTTTTATGGCGAAACACAACTAGTTTATTGTACTTGGGTTGAGAATTTATGAAGGCTGTAAGTCATACTATTTGTAGTATAAGATTGATCATTTTCACGCATTGATTACTTAAATCTTTTTTTACATCCAGCCAACATCAGTTTGTTACCATTCATTCTGGTCCTAAGAAAGTGGGTAAATTCACTTTATCAGCAGACTCACAGTACGAGTGTATCAGTTTATTTCTGCAACAACTTTCATTTTAAACATGGTTAACTACTTGAATAATGATTATGAGAAAAATACACCTTTATCAAGTGTGATGCACAATGTGGGGACAACCTTTAACTGTTATGTCATTTTGTATTCTTTGCCCTCTATTTGTAACACAATCCTGGTTCGAGATGTTAGTTTCTTACAAGTTTACAATGTAATCATAAAACAAAAGCAGTCAGGGCCCAACAGTTTGAAAGGTTTTGAGTCTAAAAGGTATTATCTTACACTGGTGCATACAAGTATATTCCAAGCATTACATTTGGTGGTGTTTTTGTTTTTATCCTGTTGATTTAAGCAGACAATGTGACTGATGACAAGTAACATAGATTAGAATGCTTGAAATGGAAGAATACTTTTCTGCATAGATGAAATGGAAAGTGCAAACAGTTTTTATAAGCTACCTGAAACTGAACAAGTTGAGCTGTCATAGAAATAAGGAGAAATGAAATAATTACCTTTGTTGTGCTGCGTGTATTTGGTCAGGTTGAATTGGAAGTGGTAGTGGAAGACTATTTTTGGACTTTGGGCAGTCAACATGAACAGAGCTGTGTGGTCTGACTTAGTGAAGGAAGTGACTGTGGTATACGTATCTGAAGGGAGTGGAAGAAACATGGGTGTGTCTGCTAATAGCTGTTGAGCAAGCATCTAGTCTGGAGGATATTTGTTTTAATAGATCCCTTTACACACACATGTACTGTTTTAGAGAGGTGCTGATGTAAACGTATGATCATCTGAAAGACTGTGTGTTGCCATTCAACTGTACCGCATTATACAAAGAAGTGTTTCTGTTTTTTAGCCTAGACTCTGCTAAAAATGGGGTGGACAAAAAAATAAAAACACCTGAGGAAATACAATTCAGATTTTTCAAAATGATCATACAGTTGAATCAACACCTCTCCAAAAATAATAATAATAACCTGGCTCCGCTTGTTTCTTGGTTTCCAGATTATCATATTGTGATTGGAATTGCTGCCTGGCAATCTTCTCTTCGTCCTAAGACTGGTTACAAGACCCATACTCTAGCTATTTCTCTGCCAGCCTATCACTGCTCGCCACTTGCTGGCTCACAGGGCTGTCCTGCCATCTCCTGTTACCTGTTCTCCAGACCTCTTAGATGTCAGCCTACTTGTAACCTGTTTCCTGACCCACATCTTGATAATGGATTAGCATTTGTGGATATGTGTGAAATTATGTGTGTTGACATATCGACTGTCTTTACATGCTTGAAAGAATAAATCAAATCAAATCTTGCCTTATTTGAACTCTCCACCTGCCTGGCATTTACCGCTCAGCAGTGATTTCCAGTTGTTTCCAGTACTGTTTTCAGATGCCAGTTACCATGTCCAAATCCTGCTTGTTTTGACTCGTCTCCTGTTCAACTCTCCTAGTGCTGTGTGCCGCCTGTGTCAACCTGATTTGTGGGCTAATTCGTCCAGTCTAAGGATTTTTTTTTTTAATGCAGTCAGTCTGTTCCTCTATCTACATTCAGTATTTCTGTGTTTAGATGGCTGAAGAGGAGGAGTGTTCAAGTATTTTTGGGAGGGGGCTTATTCATACTTTTGTTTGTTTTCTTCAGTCACGGTGGACTTTCTTACTGTTTTGCCTGTTTTTTCAGATGGTATGATGGAACATCATAACAGGACTGCTCAACCAGCTTGTTAAGATGTTGGTTTCTTATGGAGGTGGATGGGACACTTATGTTAAGCAAGTGTCTTTTGCATATTACTCCACCTCCTCCTTCCTGGTGCATGAATGCGAGGCATGGGTTCCAGGTGAGGTGTCTCAACACCAGCAAACACTACACCATACACAAAAGGCCATCAGAGTTTAGAGGAGATTTTATTTAAAAAATACATAATGAAGGCAGTACAGCAATCAATGGGAAGGAACCTGCCTGTCGTTCAATTAAATAAATGAATACAGTATTCAAAAACCATATAAATCAAGTTATTGTTATAACCATTTTAAATAAATGTGATACTATGACTAAGGAAAGGTTTGTGAACTAAACTTCAAGTCTTGCTGTAGTGGTTTTGGAGCTGACCTAATGCTATAGAAGGACTCTGGGTGGAGAAGATTTACATGGGAGTCTCATTCCTGTTAAATCTCACACCTTCACACACACACACATCCTTGCAGTTGTCATTTACAGGGTTTTTTACATGGACATATACATTTATTTTCAGGAGACTGATCCTAACCTTAACCAGAACCGCCTTAATCCTTACCGTAACCCTCACCAAAGCTGACACTTGCTCTAATCACCCTGTCATTTTCATAAAATGTAATGAGTTATTCATGAGGCCCAGCCTCTGGTCTCCACCAGTGAATTCCGGTTCTCCCACTTTTCCATCCCCACAACTATATATAAACAAGGCCATACACACACAAAATCAGTGCTAACAGCTAAGGATGTAACGTGGGGCTTAGTTTCAGGCAAAATGAATGTCCAAACCTCCAGTATCATATCATAAATTAACAGAATACAGGCCCTGTGTTTTCACACTAGCCTTCAGATTATGCAAAAGCCTTCTTCATACTATTAGATCTGCTCCAAATTTGGCCACCTTCTGTGCACTACTAAAAACATTAAAGCATTCAACATCGCCACCTTTTTTTAAAAATCATTATTCTTTATATTTAGATTCTTTTTGATTACTGTGTTGTGTGCTGTTCTTTTATTTTTCCATGCCTACTTTATTTCATCTTTCCTGTTTTACTATTATTGATTTAATCTTTGTGAAGCACTATGTAACATACACTTAGACAGGTGCTATATTAATAAGGATCGCTTTACTTCAATCACAAATTGAAATATATTTTTGCACTCATGGGTTGAAGCAGCATCCAACAGCCTATGTTATCACATACTCCAATCACACAATTTCCACTGACTCAGCACTTATAGTGAGTGACAGCGGAGCACAGACTGTGTAGTCGTCAGGATAATTTTTTAAGACCTATAAAATCGTATTTAAGCCCTTTTAAAAACTTTTTGAGGCCTAAAATTCAGATTATTGGATTTTACTCTTTTTTATATTTTTTAAGGACCTGCTGAAACCCTATATTGTTACCATAGTGTTAAAACCATGATATCACATATTTAAGACAGAGGGGGGTGTCAAACGTTTTGTGTTTTTAGTTTTAATTTGTATGTAGTTTGTTTAACAATTAAAATTAATATAACCAAAACTGTTTATGATTATTGATTGTTTGGGACCACCCCATCCTTTACTTCTCCTTCCAGGACACTGTTTTAAGGTTCACTGGGGCGATTAAAATCTTTGCAGCATTCAGCACTTTTCACAGGAAGTAGGCGACTAGTTCCTTTTGAACAGCATCTAACACCATATCACACACCCCTAATAAGACCATATAATATCCACTCCCTAACGTGAGCTACTGCATGACAGCAGTGCACAGAACTGATGGCAGGCTATATGGAGGCTGTGCAGCAGTCTGACCGACTTTACCTGCTGTGAATAAAACCTGTAATGAAAAAATAAATACTGTGGTTATAATTTTTTTACCTTACAGTACATATACATTTAAATTAAAGCTATAGGCCTATTAGTTTTTTGTTGTTGTTTGTTTTTGTCAAAATAAAAGACTGAATAACCCCACGGAGGACCATGTGAGTAAGGGGAGTACCAGCATCCTCCCCTCCTTCAAGCACTGTTTCTAAATATTATGGTCCTTAACAGCAATGCTTCTTTTCCTGAGATAGGCACTCCCACTCAAATGAAACACAAACTAATAATACTTAGAGGATTGTGAACAATTTTTACGGTAAGGTTTTACCATAAATAGCTGGAACAGATATCTGTGTAACGTTGCTAGATAGCTAAGATGTGGCACCATGTGCTCAGCATGGTTGTGTCTTTGGTCTCAGAGGAGAGACTTCTTCCTCTGTGGGAAGGAATGAACTTCAAGCTTGTTGGAGAGTGAGAGAGTGACACCTGAGATTTGGAACCAGCAGCAGATCTGAAGACTGTTGATAAGTGTTAGCGACACTGCAGCTTCTCACAGTGCATCTGGATGTTACTGAATTTACAGAGGCACTGTCCTGATCCACGGCCTTTCTAATTGGACTGTCCTCCAGGGGCAAGTCCATGTCCATAAAGTCCAGTTGGTCACTGTCCTGAGCCCACTTCTCTTCTTCCTCTGTGCTCTTGCTCTCTTTGTTTCTGCTCTGTCTTTGGCACATTCCAGACTTGGACCAACCAACAAGAGCTAGGCAGATGGCACTTAATCCCATGCCTGCTGCACAGGAGTAGAAGGCAGCACCATAGTTGTGTGTGACATCCACCAACACACCTGGAAGGAAACATGAGACAGCTGTCAGGATCTACAGAGGGTCTGACAGATTAGCGTAATCAGACAAAACCCATACAGTAAAGGTAGTGGAGATACTCTACCTGCTAGTGGGGGTCCTGCAAGCCCAGCAAAGCTCTGGATAAAGAGATACACTCCCACAGAGGATGCCATCTTCTGAATGCCCACCACATCATCCTCAGCCAGCATGGGGATGTGAGTGGAACCCACGGCGCCCATGAAGTAGCCATAAAAGGCACAGCAGATAACTAGGCCCCAGAACTCCCACACAATAGTGAAGGCCACCAGAACCATGCACAGCAGAACCACACACCCAAGCAACACCAGAGTCTTCCTGAAGCGAACTTTGTTCAACACCACCCCGATGGACAAGCGGCCGAAGATTTCGGCCACAGCCATCACAGAGAGCATGTACGAGGCCAAACCGGGCTGCACACCCCGGCTCTTGCTCAGTTCAATGATGTAGAGCTGTGGGGCAAAGAAGCCTAGTGTTGCAAACAGGCCAAAGAGGGAATACCAAATGAAGGCACCATCTTTAAGCACTGAAAAGTCCAGGAGTTTGGTGCTAGAGGGCTGAAGAGGACCTGCCTCTATCTCTAGCTTTTCCTTGATTGGGGTGGAAGATGTGGACAGTAATGCCTCTTGGTTCTCTCTGTCTTGCACCTCCCACTCCATCACAGCCTGTCTTACTGCTCCTGCAGTTCTCAGGTCTACATTTGAGGCAGAGAGGGAGGCGACACCTGAGTCCTCCGAACCTTGGGAGACACGTGAACTGATGGAGGTTTTTGTTTGTTCATTCTCCAGCTCGTAAACAGTCTGCAGTTTCTTCAGAGAGAGTGGGTCATTGCTCAATTCATCATCATCTTTTACAGGTTCCGGCTCAATGATGATTGGACGAAGGAGAAGCCCACAGATAATCACAGAAACCTGAAGGGTGCCAATGACAACTAGACAGTAGCGCCATCCAATGTGTTCTTTCAGTGTAGTGAAAGCTGTGGAAAGATGGAAACAACACTGTGGGTTACTTTACTCTCACTACTATTATTATTATTACGTTTTTTGTATTTTTAAATCTTAACTCAAGGGGAACTTACTAGCTTTACCATGATTTTTCAACTTCTCACTATCTGCTCAGGTGTCATGACACATGATGGTGCTTTCACTTACTATTTGACCAATCAAGCAATTGACTACTTAAATAGCCCATGGCATGCTTTTCTGTGTTTTCTGACTTATCCACAATGTGACAATGATGAACTGATATTTTAAGCATTTCTGAAAGCTCAAAAGACAAGGTGCACCTATGTTGATGTTGTACTTCTATGCAGAAGCAACTCAGTTTATACAAATCTCAGAAACTCTTGCTCGTGAGACTTTTTTCCCCAATAATGTAAAGTCTTAAGCAACAGTTCACTGATTTCCTTGAATGGTCATAATCTCCTGGCTATGTGTGTTCAAGTGATCTTGTCTGACATCTATATTAAAAGTGGGATTTTGTGACTACACACAGTATTGTGGATTTGTTTCACCTCCTGCTGCTGCACTGTGACCAGAGGATGTGAAGAAAAATACAGGGCCTGAGGTTACTGCATGTCTGGGAATGTTCATGTACAGAGACTCACTGTTTTACCTGAACAGGTCTAACATGGTGCAAATGGAGTGGTTCATTATCACATTAGGAACCCAACTATTTTGGGCAACAGTTAACACCAACACGATACTATCTGCATGTGTTTTTATAAAAATATGTTCCGGTATGAAGGTACTTTAGACCTTTATTGTGAAGCAACCAGAAGGTTTTGACAAGATCATTTAATGAATGCAGTATTGTGTACAGTATTTCTACATAAATAGTTTTGTCACTGTCACTCTAGGAATGGGGCACATAACTGACAGAAGAAGTAGATACACGGAAAGAATCTTTAATATATTTCCATGTCCTGGCATCACTGACATCAGTCACTCAGGTTTCTGCCCTGCTCTTTAAAGGGGATGAGAGGAGCTGGTTTGATTGGACATAATTAAGCCAGACCTGACTCCACCTGCTCACAATGTAATCCTCCCGCTACTAATGTGTTCTGCCTCTCCTCTACGCCATATTTACTTTGTGCCTGGAGTTTAGTCACCAGTTTAGTGCTGCGGCATATTGCAGGAAAATAGAGCCCTTTATCTTTAAAGTACACTTTTTCAGGGTATATACAGCAAACCTTAAGTTAAATTTAATACCTTTTAATACCTTTTTTTTACTACCTTCGGATTTTTTTTAAAACCATCATGACACTGAGTTTCAAGTGTTAATCAGCGACCTTATTAATGTTGAAGCAGATTTTGACATATATAACACTATACACAACAGAATAGATTTAGTGACTCACTGATGTTGACCACATATTGCACACATTTATTTCACTTCATGAAATAAAAATAAAACAAACTACATAAAATGTGCAATGAAGAGAACAGTTCCAGCACACTGGCTGGCATTCGCTGCTACAAACTGGCATCTGCTATATGAACTATGAACTGGTGAACTGCTATTATTTGATTTTAATATAAACCTGTGCTATAGGCCTAATATGAACTCATGAGCAAAAGAATTTTATGGCAAGTGTCTTAATTGCATGGCCTTTTCTTCAATAGTTTTGTCCATTTTATCCAGTTCCTCTTTTTTCTCTTTGTATCTCCTTCTGAGTGTGTTGGATTTAGTGATAAGCTGGGCCATTTTTGACCCAGCCTTCCCCTCTGCCTCCTCGGCCAACTTGTTGGCATCATTTTCAAGGATGGCACAGACATCGTCCAGGACTCTGCGTTGCTGTCTGAGCTCCACTAGTTCTTCCTCTGCGGCCTTCCTCTTCAGTGTCTGAGCAGCACTCTCCCTCTTTTTGCGTTCTTGCTCAAGGTATAGCCTGTACTGGGACCTTGCTGAGGCAGGAACGTTTTCAACCCATCTAAATGGTAAGGGAAAGCAGGAGGACCCTGTCAGGCTAGTGAAGTCTTCCCTCCTGGCAGGAACATTATGAAAAAGGAAGTGCATGACTCGCAGAAGTTTTTCCAACTGCCACATAGTAAAGCCTGCCTTTAAAGCATTGTGGAGGGTGTGAAGTCCACAGCTTCCAACAGTGACAACCTGAGCACCTCCGTAGAGCTCTGCATGCTCTTTCTGGAGAAGATCCACCAACTTGAAATTCACACTGGGGCCATCCATGCCAACTGATAGTAGTTCCCTCATATTCAGTTGTGTAACACATTCCTGTGAATCAACAAAGGAGAAAGTCTGTTAAAAATAATCATTCAGATACAGTAAAATAGATCTCAACATTCACAAAGCTTGGCACTTGGGGCTAAGGTGAAGCATTACTGCATACACATTTGATTTCAAGCAATAGTTGGTATTTTAGCAATGAAATTATTTTGTGTTTTTTCCAACAGCAAAACTTGAGCCAAATATTGCATTTCTATAACTATAAGGTTATTGAACTTAAAACACTAAAAACTTTTTTTTTCTTGTACTTTGGAGCTATACCCCACAGATTAATAAAAGCAGATAGGCCTACAGCTTTCATTCAAGTGACTGCAGGCCTTTGGCCAATTTAATCCTTTTGTGTAGCTAACAATAAGTTTGCCAAACATTGTCCTATAA